ACTTTAAAATTTGTTCCAGCACCCATAAAATTATGCAAACTTACTATTTACAAAAAGTATCATAAGTTTAGTGTCTTAAGCCATCCAGCAAGTTTGATACACAGTTGCTTATGATAGCACTACTTAAACAAAAACAATGGTAGAGGTTGAACCTCTCTAGTCCAGCACGATTGGGACCTGACCGGTGCAAAACGAGAGAATTTGTACATCCACGGGAGGTCAATTTTGTCTATCAGCACTACCAACACTTCCACTGCTTACTGGGCTCTTAAAAGACAATTAGGGTAAACTAGAGAAAAGTAACAGCACAACATTGAGAGCTAAGGTCTGGTGCTATAAATAAACTTTATGGGGAAACTTGGCCACACCCATGCTAAGCAGACATCCAACTAACTAAAATCATGCTGGACAACAGATGTTTCCAGACCAGAGAGAGTCAGATGACAGAGGTTCAACCTGTAGTTATATTTTTTTAAGATATGAAGAAAATTACTTGAAGTTTCATAGAAAAAACAACCTGCAGATGTATCATTAGCCATGAAGCAGTTATCACAAATGCTACTTTCTTTTCTTTTTTTGTGGTCATCAACTTTGTTTCACAGAGAGGTTTAAAATCATTACATCTAAAACGAAAGCCTATAAAAACATACTGAAAGGTGCAACATGTCTTAAAAAGAGTTTTCTTAGTTTCACAAGCTTTTCTTATTTCTCTTTTATGGAAAGCTGACACATTAAAATTAGCATTTGAAAGTATTCAAAGGATTGTTAAACTTCTCATTTAGGTGTCAGGTTACCCAGGTGCTGTTTCTCACAAAATACAGTGAAACCTGTACAAAACCAACTGTGCTAGACAAAGTCCTGTCATAAGACCATTATTCCCAAATATATGCAGTATAATGTGGTTCACTATTACTAACTAACATCAGCTTTCGGTTTATCCTTTAAAAAGAAACATGCAATTACAACGAAACCTAACTTATGTTACACTTATGACTGAGCTAGATGGTTTTTAATACATATTCTAACAAGTAGTTAGCAAGCTTTATTTCAGCAAAGATGACATTTTGCAACTAATTTTTAAACTGCTATTACAATAATAACAAGGAGTCACCGTAAAGACTACCAAAAACTTTGCCATATGCTGCAGCCCACAAAAGCTTATGTTCAAATAAATGTATTAGTCTTTAAGGTGCCACAGGACCTTGTTTTTGCTGAAACAAACACACCTTCCCCTCTGAAACTTATTATAATAGTACAATCTACAACTAGCACAATTATGAACACTATCTACATTTAACTGGGCCTTTAGCTACAAAATAAATTCAATTAAGAGGGTACCAACTGTATTTCACTTGTATAATATGATCATTTGATTTCCCTAGATAAATATAACAATGCCAAGAGAAGTTATAAAAGGCTCATTTGCTCAATTTATACCTTATAGTAATCAAAAAATTATAGAAATGTAAAGCTGTAAGGGACCTGAATAGTCTTTAGCTCATTTCCTTGGACTGAGGCAGGATACCTACACTGCCCTTGACAGGTGTTTGCCTAACCTATTCTTTAAACCATCCAATGATGGGGATTCCACAACTTTGCTTGCAATCTATTTCAATTTTTAAACTATAATTAGAGCTACAATTTTCCCTAATATCAAATCTGAATCTCCCTAGTCGCAAACTAAGCACACTACTTCTTATTCTAATGCCAGGACATATGGAAAACTGATCACCAAATTATGTTTTAAGGTATCCTTATAGGATTCTATGGTACATGACTAAAATCATCCTGTGTCAAATGAGGGACCTTTTTCACATTATTTAGTTACTTTTATAATCCTGATATATCTTAACACTTACCTTCTAATTGTATAAATCCTTCACTGTAATTTTTTTTCAAACTAATCATGAAACGAGCAAGTAACTACCAATACAAAGCATTACTATGAGCATTTGACTGTGGAGATAACCATACAAATAACAAGTTTCCATTTCCAAACATTCTCAACTCATCAGAATAAGTATTCTTTTTACTCACCCAAACTTCAAAGCAATTTCCCACTAATTATAGGATGCACATTTATGGAATTTTATTAACTACATTCCTCTGAACTTCACTACCCACATGTCCAACTATCATGACTCATTCATCTCCCCACAGTCCCTTGTAAGAACCAAAACATAATTTGGTCCCCAGAGAAGACATCATCAGTACTAATAGTATTTTGTGCTAACAAACTTAGAGGTTAGTTATAATGTCTTGTTTCTGGCTTGCAATAACAGGTGAGGAGGGGTGTACACAAATTCAGGCTGACATTTTATACATTATCTCTCAACTAATTTCCTGACTTGATTGGTTCTCAAGCTTAATATGCAGTTTTACTTGGCTTACACTGAGAAGTATCTTCATGATTCTCAATACACATTTTGGCATGCTTTACATACTCATATGTAGTAATGTACAATATTTTATACACTAAAACAATGTACAAAGATTTTTACATTAAACTAATTAAATGTACATATTTGAGGGGTTTTACGCCTGTGAAATTCTGCACCGCTGCACATTCACAATTTGAGCAGAAATTTCTGCACATACTACATTGATTCCTTTTTCTCCCACAAAATTGGATGGCAGGTCTGCTGAATGCCACTAGAGGCCACTGGACCGGGAGTATCTCAGCCCAGCTGAAGGAGCTCAGCTTGCAAATTAAAGACACTGCAGGGAGTGAGGGAGAGGAGGTGAAGAGTATTCCTCACAGCTGAAGTTCTCAGCATGCTTTAAAACCTAGTTTCAGGCTGTTTTCCCCTCTGGATCCTCTAGCCAGTAAGGAGTGCATGAGAGTTTCTGGGCTCTGGAGGTATGGGGTACTGGTGTCTAGGCTGGGGGAATCCCGTGGTTGGGCTCTGTGAGTAGGAATGCAGGTGTCTGATCCCCTGCTGGGCTCTGCAGGATAGGAGGCAGAGAAACAGGGATTTCTTTAACTCTACTCCTAGGGGAAAATTTGTGTGCATCAGTATTGTTAGACATTGTTGCTGATAGGTATTTTTAAATAAATTACCAAAATAATAGAAACTGGCATGATTACGCAGTGTTATTTTGCTAAATAAAATAGAGGTTACAGAATTTTACAATTATATTAACTTTAAAAAAAATTTGGACAGAATTCCCTTAGGACAGGCCTGCACAACATACAGCCCACAGGGGCTCACTGTGCGGTCCATGACCACGGCTGGATTAAGGGGCGGACTAGCCGGGCAGCTGCCCAGGGCACCAAAATATGGGGGGGGCGCTAAAACACCCCATCACCCAGAGTCACTCCGACATAGGGCACATGCCTGCTACGCTGCCGTATGGATAGGTCTCCCCGACCCTGGGTCTCACCTGCCCGCTGCAGGAGCAGAGAGGCTGGGAGGACACTGGGGCCGAGCTCGCACTGTGCCGTGTGCCTGCTCAGCCAGGCTTGCCTCTGCTCGGCATTGGATTGCTCCGCTGCTTCCAGGCGCCTGCTGCTGCACGATGCCCAGATCCTGGCGCTGGCAGGTGAGGCTGGGTGGGGGAGGGGCCCACTGCGCTCCGTGAAAGGAGGGAGGGGGTGTGAAGGCCGGATCAGTTAAAAAGAACGCGCTCCCACTGGGGGAGGAGGAGGGAGGGAGTAGAAGCAGCGTCCCGTTCTCCCCCACCTCTGCTCCTCAGCAGGGAGGGGACCCGGGGTGGGGGGAGGGGAGGCGGGCTGGCCGCTCCCCACCACCTGGAGCTGAGGTGAAGGGAGTGGGTGCCCCCTTTTCCCAACACTGCCCCTTGATCTTCTCACTCTTCTCCCAGCAGCAAGGCCGCAGGCAAGGGGAGGGGATAGGCACTCTGTATTCATAAATAAAAATTAAAATAATTTTAAAAATTGTTTGATTTAATTGAAAAATTCTTAATAAAGTATCACCTCCCGCCTCTTCCCCCCCAAACCTACTCTTGCAGCTAGGATTGCCAGGTGTCCAGTTTTTTACCAGGCAGTCTGGTATTTGCGCTCTCTGCCCGGTAAAAACATTCAGAAAATATCGGACATGTTTAGTGTCCGGTATTTTCTGAATTTCCATCTGGGTCCTGTGGTTGTGTGCTGAAGTCCAGTGGTGCCTCCTGTTGTTGTGTGCTGAAGCCAGGCAGTGTTGGGTTTTTTTGTATGCCCGACGTGCTTGGGGTTTTGTTCCCCTCCCCTCGACAAAAATGTTTAGCCCGTGTGTTCGGTATTTTTTGGGAGAGCATTTGGCAACTACTTGCTGCCTGCAGCTGTTTTTTTGGAGTAACATGGCCCTCACTGCTTTCCGAGTTGTGCAGGCCTGCTCTAGGAATTACTGTTTATAAGATTAAAAAATATTAGCCAATGGCTTCTTCTAGAAATCAGACAGATAAAAAGATATTTGATATCTTTTAAAGCACTTGCTACTCATGCACTGTAAAGTCTTTTCAATTAATCTTGTCAGAATTAGTGAAATATCTACATCCTGTAAGAAATGCAGTCACAAAGGTAAGTCTTAGCTGGTAGATCAACATTTCCCAATTTAAATTTGGGGCAGGAGAACAGGTGAGATTTCATATGCAAGAAAATGTAATGAAAGTTTACCCTTGCTGCCTTACCAATGACCTCAAACCATAAATCAGAGGAACCACTTTTTTAGTATTAGAGATAATTTATACTCAATGCTAATTAAGACCTGAGCAGTCCCAAGTACAGATTGGCAGTTACATCAAACTACATTAAATACAATGTGGTTCTAGATGGGAACTGAGTGACAGTCCAGTTTGTTTCTCAGAACATCTCAAGCAAAACTTACTACCTGGTATCAGTGGTGAAAAAAAGCTGAATCTCCACTAAATTGTTTAGCCCTCTGATTAGACTACATTGTGGAAAATGACATTGTACATGACTACTACAATAATGCACATTTTGAAGAAAAACTTTTCAAAGATATTAATAAATTCAAAAATTTATTTAATATTGTATTTACCATTCTGTAACCCCATCCAGAGTTGTTTATGATCCTTTTTCTGCATCTCATTGATGACTTGACTTTTGTGCTTTAAGGCATCTGCTTCCTTTACACAAGCCATGAAATGAGCTTCAATCACATCTTTAGATGGACAGTGCAGAAGGTCCTTTTCTGGGAAGTTCTACAAGAAAATTGTCAGACCAGTAAAAGTAAGAATATTGTGCATCTTTTACTAAAAGACAAAAATATTTATTCTTCAGCAAGCACAGAGACAAAGCATGTAGATCATTAATCCTCACCCAGTTAATAGACTTCAGGTTTAGCCACAATGCTTAATTGTGAATTTAGAGATGTAAGTTTTGAAAAAGTGATTTGTAACAGGAGCATCATTTAGATCTGATGGTTTTATTCACAGGAGGAAAAACCAACCCCAATAATCATATTTGAATTTTTTTCAAAGCTTACATAGCATTTGACACCTTTCAAGTTTTGATATCATATCTTGCCCATTTCTGCAACAGTAGACAATACTGTAAATTATCTCCTCCCAACAGTGCCTTTCCTGATGGGCCAGTTTCCCAGTTTATTTCAATCATTAATTTCTATTTCCTCAATCTGGCTGTGTCATACCAATTTTCAACCCAATATGAGTGCAGGTTGAAACTCCATAATGTGGAGTTCTCTTGTCCAGCAACACTCCTGGTCCGGCATCAATGGGTGACACCCCATGAGAGCAACCAAGGGGATAAGCGGAGGACTGGGCTGAGGCCAGGAGCGCTGAAACGCCACAGGGTGCACAGGGCCAGTGGAGGACTACTTGAGTCCTCTGCTGGCCCCATAGTTCCCACAGAATGGAAATCAAACATTAAAAAAAAGACTGAAAAAGGCTGTAATAATAAGGGTGTCTTGGAACCGATTTCCTTTGAGCCTTTGTAGGAACGGCCGAAGGCGTGGCACGGGGCTCATCGACTGAGGAATGTCTTGAGGCTTGATCCTCATCGTCCAAGACAAGTATCGGGGAGTGCCGTACCGATGAAGCTGGGGAGGCTAACTCTCCTAACAGTGCCTTACGTGGAACCGAACTGCGGTGATCCGCCAGTGCTGTGCTTGTTTTCTTAAGAATTTGCGGTGCCGCTTCCGGAACCGCAGTGTGACTGCCACTCGGCACCGTATCCGGTGCCATGGGCGTTCGGTGCCCTGGTGCCGCCTGCTCTGCTGGTGCCACCGATTGAAGCGGTGCCGGCCGCGGTGCCGTATCATGTCTCCCGTGCTGTTGCCCCAACGGTGCCGAGGTCCTCGGATCAGGCGCTTTCGTAGGCAGCCGCCCATGAGCCAGAGGTGCCGTTTTCTTTCCCGCAGCCTTAATAGCGGTCGACGGCGCCAGCACTGAAGAGGAGCGTACCAAAGACTTATGCCTCTCCGATTTTTGTGTTCATTTTTTTAAATTGTATCCTTTGGTATATATGGTTGTGACTATTTTCTTCCACTATTTGATCTGAGGAAGTGGGTCTGGCCCACGAAAGCTCATCGTCTAATAAACCATCTTGTTAGTCTTTAAAGTGCTACATAGTCCTGTATTTTGCTTACTACAAAATCACATTGATAACATGATTTAAGAAAAAAACAGCTGATCCACTAAGTCATCCATAGCAGAACTAGAGTGAAATGAATAACAGACTGCAAGACCATTCCTAATCAAATTATTGCTTCTGTGAAATGTTATTGAAGCCATATTTCTAATACATACAATCTTTAAAATAGCCAATGAAACTAAAGATTAAAAAAAAAAATCTAGTAGCAGAGTTCTTTAAAGATAATGCAATCCACATACATAAATCTTTCTATAGAAAGGTATTTTACCCGACTGCTTCAATAGAGCTTAGGACTGTTGGGGGGGCAGGGTCAACAAGCATGTGGACAAGGGGGATCCAGGGGATAGAGTGTATTTAGATTTTCAGAAAGCCACTGACAAGGTTCCCTCAAAGTAAGCTGTCAAGGGATAAGGAACTCAGGTCCTCTGATGGATCAGTACCCGGTTAAAAGATAGGAAACAAAGGGTAGGAATAAATGGTCAATTTTCAGAATGGAAATAGGTAAATAGTGGTGTCAGTACCGCTCAAATTATTCATAAATCATCTGAAAAAAAGGTAAATAGTGAAGTGGCAAAATGTATAGATGACATAAAACTTTTCGAGCAAATTTATGCCAAAGCAGATTGTGAAGAGTTGTAAAGGGATCTCAAAAACGGCAGATGAAGTTCAGTGCTGATAAATTCAAAAGCAATATGCACACTGGAAAGCATAATCCCAACTATGCATTAAAATAATGGGGTCTATATTAGTTATTTTACCAGTCAAGAAAAGAGATTGTGGAGTCTTTGTGGATAGTTCTGAGAATATCCACACAATGAGCAGTGACAGTCAAAAGGAAAAGGGATAGATAGTAAGATATAAATATGATAGTACTCTCCTTTACCAGGTGCCAAACTCTTGAGCCATGGGAAAAATTAAAATTGGTTATGTAAAATTTATTCTAATATATTTGTAGATGCACTTTAGTCAATTATTGTTGACAATATATTTTTAGAAGGGAAAGGAGAAACGCTCTGAATAAGAGGCATCACAAAAATCAGAAAAATGCCATTAGACTGATTTAAACTTAATAAATCCTGCTTTCTTTCAAGAAATGGACTAATCACAACATGACTATAATATTATTAAAAGGTTTAAATTAAACCCACAAAAAGGAAGCAAGCTAATAATCTAGTTACAGTGAGGTATAGAAACATAAAAACCTCTACATAATTTTGGCATACCTGGGTACAGTACAATGATGTTTTTTCTTAAAAGATAACTAGGACAGTATATTGTTTAAATTAAAGCATTTAAAATGATATACTAAAAACAAGAAAGTTAGGTTAAGGAGGGCAGAGTTCAGCACAGCAAGCTATAGTTATGAAGGAGTTTTCAATAAACTTAAACTTTGTTCTTTTTATTTTCAATTTTCTTTATTTTTTTAATGCTGATGATTCATACAGATTATCTCAGTCCAAAAAAAAATTTTTTTGACAGAAGAATTAAGTCTTTTCAGCCATTTGAGATTTGCCAGGGTAAGCACATTTTTTTGCTGTCTAAAATCTACACATGTACATAGTCCTCAATAAGGAATGTAATGTTCATTATATTTGAAAACATACATTTTAAACAAACATTTAAAATAAGATATGCTCCCAAAGTAGTAAGTTATTTTTCCATTTTGATTTTGGGTACGTCTAGACTACATGCCTCTGGCGACAGAGTATTATAAAGAGGATAGTGATCAGTTGTTCTTCATGCCCATTGCACGTAGGACTTAATATGCAGAAAGGGGATCTTGGTTAAATATTAGAAAAAAAACTTTGTAATTACATGAATAGTAAAATTCTGGATTAGGCAAGAGTAGTTTTGGAATTTCCATCACAGGAGGTTTTTAAGAATAGGTTGGACAAATACCCATTGGAATGATTTAGGTTTAGCTGGTCCTGCATCAGCTCATGGGGCTGGATTGAGCGCTCTTCAAGCCCTATATTTCTATGATTCTATTGTTTTTATACTTGTATACTTGTATGCCTCCTGGGATGTGGTTTACCTGGGAGGTCGACAAATGCCTTTGATATCGACCGCGGAGCATCCAGACTACCGCGCTGAGCCGACAAACAGCTGATTGGGTCAGCGCGGCAGCCATTTAAATTTAAATGAAGCGGCAATTATTTAAATCGCCGCTTCATTTTCCTACGCTGGGTAGCCTAATCTACATGCCTCTGTCGCCAGAGGCATGTAGTCTAGACGTACCCTTTAAGTGCATATTTTTTAGACAAATGTACATGGCAAGTATAAAAACAATAGAATCATAGAAATATAGGGCTTGAAGAGCGCTCAATCCAGCCCCATGAGCTGATGCAGGACCAACTAAACCTAAATCATTCCAATGGGTATTTGTCCAATCTATTCTTAAAAACCTCCTGTGATGGAAATTCCAAAACTACTCTTGCCTAATCCAGAATTTTACTATTCATGTAATTACAAAGTTTTTTTTCTAATATTTAACCAAGATCCCCTTTCTGCATATTAAGTCCTACGTGCAATGGGCATGAAGAACAACTGATCACTATCCTCTTTATAATACTCTTACATTTGAAGATTTATCAGATACCCACTCGGTCTTTTCTTAAGACTGAACATATCCATTTTTAACCTTTCTTCACACAAATAGGTTTTTTAATGAGTATTTGATGAGTATTTTCATTACTCATCTCTGGTAACACATTTCCAAAATTAGACATCCTACTCCAGTTGATGCCTCATCCATGTTTATAGAACAGAACAAATACCTTGTGTCATACATATGACATTCCCATTAATATACCTGAAATGATATTAGCCTTTTTTGCAACTTCAATATATTATTAGCTCATATTCAATTTTTGATCCTTCTAACCCCCAGACACTTTTCAGCAGTACTACTACAACCTGCCCAACTAATTCCATTTTGCAGCTGTGCATTTGATTTTTTCTTCCTAGGGTATGTCTACACTGCAAGATTTTGAAATAACTTAGTCCGTGTCTACATAGTAGGCAGTTATTTCAAAATAGTGTCAAACTTACTCTGACTCCTGTAACCCTCATTGCTGTACAAGGAATAAGGGAAGTCGGAGGAAGAGTGAATGGCTGTAAACAGAGATATGCCAATTGCTGACCAAGAGGCTGCCGAGGAGTGCCCTTGACTAAAACCCATATTGATACGAACACACAGCCGTCCGCGGGGTGGAGGAATTTCTCGTCCAGTAAAATGTCTAATACTCACAATTTAGTTCTCTCTCTTGAAAGTGTAAATTAAGTTGAAACTTGCTTGTAAGAACTGGCGCCACAGAAACGGACCAGTACAATTTGTCATCTTAGATAAGAAAGAGGATACGGGCCCCTATGGGTATAAAGATGGGTCCAGCAGCACCTTTACTCTGAGTGTCAATCTACCATCTATCTACTGGTCGGGTTAGGTGTTTGACCTCCCGAGGTTCCATGGGGACGCCCACCTCGTATCCGTCTTTCCTAGGAATTGAGGGACCGGCCCTGGCCTGACACGCTGGGACCGAAAGGCACAGAAGGGGATAAAACTTGTACCTGGATGTGGTCCTTTGTCTTAAGTGTACACATAGACTTAGAGCTCTTTAAAGATTAAGCTGTCACTTGGTACCATTATTTCTATTTTCTATCTTTATTTTCTTTGTAACCATTTTTAAGATCTATATTTGCTAGCAGTTAAGAAATAGAGCAATAGCCATTGTAACCATAAGATCTGTATTTGCTAGCAGTTAAGAAAGAGAGCAATAGCCATTGTAACCATATGCTTTTATAAGTCTTTTTAATAAACCTGTAACTGTTTAAGTTTTTAACCTGACTCCTTCAGTTGCTGTAACAGAACCAAGCACAATTTAAAAGAACTTCAGCCGGTCATAAGGGACAGGTATAGGAAGAGCTTGGGCGTTTTGGATCGTGTCACTCCCAGGTGACAGATCCGTTGGGGCATCTCTCAGTCTTCCCTAGACTGCCCGCTGCGAAGGGATCCTGTATCCTAGCAGCTGAAATCTTAGATGTAATAAGCTTTTCCTAAAACTCTGGGGCATCTGTCAGCCTGTTGGCTGCCCTCCGCAACAGGACCCCAGTCCTAGCGGTAAAGACACGGACGTTAAACCTTTTCTCAGTAACTAACACACACACACACACAGCCCTGACCGTCGGCTGACGCCAGCTGCTGAACACAGGCAGCTTCTTCGGGACCCGGTCATAAGTTTGGGGGAGAAGTAGGATTGGGTGACAGCAGGGAGGGGAGGTATGTGGCTCTGGGAAAGGGGGGGAAGGGGAGAGGCACTGGGTTGTGTGCAGCGTCCCGGCCAGCTCACTGAAAAGCAGGCCACTCAGCGCATGTGTCCCAGCGCCTACCAGCGGCTCTGGGACCTGAGGACAAGGTGGGGAGGGGGATTGGGTTGGGAGTATGCCCCCTTATAGTACCTTCTGGTACTCCAGCATATCCAATAATCCGGCACCACCTAGGTCCCAAAGGTGCCGGATTATTGGAAGTCTACTGTATTTTGTATTTGTCTTCAATAAATGTCATCTTGTTGATTACAGGCCAATATTCCAGTTGATCGAGATTATCTGAATTCTAATTTAATCCTCCATAGTTCTTGAAACCTTCCCCAGTTCCATGTCATCCACATATTCTTCACTCCATTATCCAAGTCATTAAAGAAAACATTGATTAGTACCATACCCAGGACTAACCCTAAATGAACTAGGAATGTTAACATGTACTTGTGTACATGGTTAACCGATAACTCGGAGCTCATCGTTTAACAAGCACGGTTACACACATACCCCACCCCCACTGCCTCTGTATCAGAGGCAGTATGCGGGGGGGAGGGAGCCAGTGCGCATGGGGAGCCAGCTTTTTCCCTCTCCTTCCCCACTTCCCAGTGAATTATTTGAATCGTACAAAATCAAAATCAAATCATGTAGGCTCTAAGGTTGAATTCCCCATAATGTATTGCACCTGTGAAAGCTCACAAAAATGGTAGCCGATTGCTTGTGTTAAAAAAGGAAAAAACTAAAAAGTCCCTCTCTCTTATTCCATTTGTGATGGTGGGTTATGATGTTAAGAGGCCAAAAACGTACCTGAAGACACCATTTAATTCTTAGAATGTCTGCACTCATGATGTGGTTAATACAGGAAATAGGTCAGTAAAAGCTATTTTTTCTTAGAATGTGCCATGATTACATCGCACAAACTAAGAAACTGAACAGGATCTACAGTATTTTTGGAACATTTTTAAGAACGTTTTTTTGTCAATGCCACCTATCTGTCAGGTATTTCCAAAAGGAGATCAAGAGTTCTGGTGGCTTCTCTGCAACATGTCTATCCTCATAGCCTCAAAAAACTCATTTAAAAATGATGATGCTTACAAGGCACATTGTAAAGACAGCCAAGAAAGATGGCACACTTCCTAAAAGAATCGTAACAGGCATTCTTGGACACTCACTTTTTTAAAGGAAATTTCTGTAGAAAGCCTGGGCTCATCAGTTAACCTTCACTGTTACATGCAAGCTGCTGCCCCCCAGGCCTCCCCCTCCCTGCACACTACTGCCTCTGTATCAGAAGCAGCAGAGGGTTGGGGGGGGCGAGGGGGAGAGACAGGAACCTTGCTTGCAGGAAGCCAGCTTTTAAGCAGACTCCCTAGGAGCAATAGCTCCTTCCTACCCCCAACCCCACACAACTGCCTCTGATAAAAGCCTGCTCCTTATGCATACTGGCTTCCGCCTACCCATCTGCGCTGTGTGTACACATGTAATCGCTGAAAATTTCAGCCGTTACATGTTCACAAAAACACTCTTTTTAACATCCCTAGTAGAAAGGAATGCATAGCATGAATCTCATTTTACCAAATATTCAAGTCTTGTTTCCTTACATATTCCTCTAGGAATCATAACCCATATTGCCTCAACTTGTCTACATTCTTTTATTTTGTATGTTACAACTTTTCTTAAATACTTGTACTTTCAATAATTATTTAACAAATTACGTTTATATTTAATAAAAATTAGTAACTAAAAGTAAATGTAATATGAAACAATTGTTAATGTAACATTAAGGCAGAGAATTCAAACAAAATAAGCGCACATAATTCTGTAAGCACTGAATTTGGATAAAACAAACACCACTATGGTTTTCCAAAATGCACAGCATAGCTACCAATGATTCATTTGCAGTGTTCCTGGGAGCAGGACTTCCTAATTTTTCTAAAAACGATATTGTTCAAATGCTCCTAAACTTGGTGAGTGGGAGTGTTCAGAACAACCTAAGTAAATACTTCCTAATTTTGCTTTCCATTTCACAAACACAAAACACACAAAGTTAATAGTCAACAAGCTGTTTTTTCCTATCAGCAATATATTTTTTCTACTGTGTTAACTCTTTTGCATCTCTACAAGAGAAAAAACAGCTTTGATTTTATTTAAAAATTATGGATACTATTAACAATGACATGGAAGGCTCTTTTGTGACTTTAACTTCAATTCATATCTGAAAGTAATGTGTATGACTATTGGGCTTAACATAATTCAGACTAAATGCTAATTCAATACAATTACTTTCCTGAGCAAAGATCAGTAACATTATTATATCTGACAGTTTTATGATGTGTAATCAGTGCACTGGTCCCCCAGTGACTAAACTGTTGCAAGGTTACCAATCTCATTTCATTTAGCCCTTGAAGAGGACCCTGATTAAGTGTGCTTTCAATGTACCCAACAATAATCTGATTTTTCAAAGATTTCTATAAGCCTATTCCTCTCCAGATATTTCCAAAGGAACAAGCAATCAAACTCTCTCTCGCAAGTGACAGTGAATCAAAAGACAACTGTAGAAGATGCTTGCCTACTGCACTACGCATGTGCACTGGCATATATTCAAACAATTTATTCCAAAGCAAACAGTTCAATTTTTTAAAACAGAGTCATTTTCCAAGGTAGATCATTTAAACACATATGCATACTTCTTGAACATAAAGAGCCAGCTTTGAATTTCCAGAAAGTTCTAAACAGCTGTACTAGAGTACTAACTTTGCCCTTCCCCCGCCCCCCCCAAAAAGTAGATACTTGAGAAATAGTGTAAGCACAATTATGAAACCTTCTTCTGGTTTCAAAGTTTCATGCAGTTCTTACTAAGCTGACTTATTTTTAACCAGAAAAAAATGCATTTTAATCGTACCTTGAAATGTACTGTGATGTTCCAAGGAAGGGCTGTATTTGATGCATGAAGGTCAAATAGCAATCCAATTGGAAAGTGCCTAAAAAAAAAAAAAGAGGGGTGTATAGAAAAGTATATTAAATGTACACAAGTTACACATTTAGAATTACATGTTGGCTCCCCACTGCCTCTGATAGACAGGCAGCAGTGCAGAGGGTGACGGGGCAGGCAGGGGCCAATATGCCTGGGGAATCAGCTTAAAGCCAGCTCCCCATGGGCACCAGTCTCCCTGCCCCACCTCTGACACAGAGGCAGCGGGGGCGGGGGAGGAGGAGGGAGGAATGCGTGTAGTCAACAGAATTAACTGCATTCCAGCTGTGCAGTCCCAACTGCCCCCCACCTTGCTTCCTCCTCAGAGCCAGCAAGGCAAGGGGGAAGCACGCAGGAGCCGGTGCTGGAGAGACCCAGCTTTAAAGAGCCAGCTCCCCTCCTCCGCCCCCCATACTGCTGTATCTATCAGAGCCAGAGTGCAGGGGTGCTGAGGTCACAGAGCAGCCTCTCTCCGCGGGGAGCTTGGGGATCTCCACTCACAGGGGCTGCTGCCACCCCACACTGTGGGGTGGCAGGCAGGATGCGGTATTTAAAACTGCTCCCCTTGCAGACTGGTTCCTGCCTGCCACCCCTTGCTACTTCCTCTCAGAGAGGCAGCAATGCAGCGGGCTCCCAGGAGCGGGGCTGGGAGTGCACTGGCTACCAGCCCCGCTTCTGGGGACTTTCAAATAGTCATGTAATTTGATGCAGTTACATGACTATTCAATTACACACCACAGAATCATAGAATACTAGGACTGGAAGGGACCTCGAGAGGTCATCGAGTCCAGTCCCCTACCCTCATGGCAGGCCGCAGTACTGTCTAGACCCGTGGTCACCAACCAGTCGATCGGGAGGGCTCGACCAGTCAATCGCGAGGGCTTCACGGCCCCC